GTGTGCATCGCAGAGAAAATCTACGTAACAAACAATCTCATACTAGAAAAGAACTTTGGCTCAAAGATTCGAGAGGACATATAAATATAAATCCTCCCATTGCACTTCTAACTCAATGGACTGGACCCATTCATACAAACGGCCCCGAGTAGTGGAAGAGCATCACCAGGCATGTTGCAAACTACAGCCTGAGGCCTAAGGCCATAGAATCACAATCACTTTACGACACTCATAACCCACACTGGCCACTGGCCTAAGGCCTTCCTTAGCCTCTTACTGGGTAATTGCAATAAGGCACTATACCATCTTGGTTTACTGCGGCTTCAGTGGGTGGCATGCCACTTTACCGTGACCTCGCTTGTAGAACCATCAGTTGAAACTACAAATGATTGTTCTGTTGGATAATTGAACTACTATTATCGTATGTGGAAACATTAATTAGCTGGACAGCGAATTAAAGCAAGGGAATTTCAACCTATTTCCTTCAAGGGCCACTTTGTACATTTTTGAAAAGACGGAGTAATATTTTAGTACAGAAAGTCCCCCCCCCCCTCCCTTCTCATAAACTAACGAACTTGTAATATTTCACAACTTGTTGCCCTAATATATAATGTTGCATTCATCACTTCAAATGTCAGCACATTAGGGTTGCAATTTGTAGTTATGACAATGAGGATTGATTTCAAATTGCACATAACTAGGCAGATTTGTATTCAGATTACTCGGCCACTTTAAATCCCTCTTGAGAAAAAAGCTGCTTACTAAGGTCAAAGCTGATTTTGTGGATTCCCGAAATTTGTTTTTTGTTACCCTAGATATTGCATACCTCCGCTTCTAGCAGAGATAGAGAGATGATTTTTTTGATTATTTTGCTTATTAAATTCTATTATCTGTAGGATGGATTTGAAAGAAATCCTAAAAGAAAATATTTCAATAATATTTTTTTTTTAATTTGACACAAAAAAACCTACTTAAAACATTAAAAATTTTATAGGACCATTAATTGTTGCATTCAACAAAACCCATCCTACAGACCATAGAGCATACTTTACGAAACACTTAGAAACCAAAAGTTATCAATTATCCTTTATGGGTTTTAATCCGTACATTATCTAGTAAACTCTTGTAAAACGTGAAAAATCACCCCCCCCCCCCTCCACCATAGGGGGTGAAAAAAATGCCAACCCATTTTTTGTTTCTATGGTTACATGCAATATCCAGAAAAAGTTTAAATATTTTTGGCTAATAATTAAAGATTTTTAATTTTTTCATAAACTCCCCCTAACAATATTTACAAATATTTTGGGTTTCAAATTGGTGGCCATTTTAAATGTTAATGGCTTAAACTCTTATACTAAACACAGCTGATTTCATGAAAAAAATTCCAAGAACACTTTTTTGTCGTACTGCAGCAAAAACAGCCGTTTTAATGCATGCATTGCGTCTACTAGCATTTTTACACCATTTTTTTTAGTTTTTTAGCCCCTAGGGAGTAAAAATCAGCTGTAGTGAACTCAGATGTAATTTTTGCTTATAAACAAGTTTGTATCAAAAGTAAGTATCGATTGTAAATTATTGTTGCCTTTATTGTAAATAGTTCAGATGGTATAATATACACTACTGTAATATACAATCGTTATAGACAAAACGAATGAATCCCTTACTAAAACAGCGGCTTGTTTCCATTAACAAATTTAATTGAAAACAAGTAAGAAGTAGGTTTGAGAGGTGTCATCTTTAAATTAAAACTACTGTATTTATGTTTTGTAACATAGTTTGTTCAAAAATGTGCAATATGACAAAAATTAATATAGTTCATCACACGGGCAAAAAGTTTCTTCGCTCATTTTCTAACCTCAGCTTCGCCTCAATCCTCAAACTTGAGCTCGGGTTTAAAAGAGTCACTTTATGCCCTATTATAATGAAATATTATTATTTAGCACTTAAAATTCCCTATGAAATTACATTAAGTACCACAAGATCAAATAATAAATAGCTGAGAAATTATAATTATGTTGATTGTACAGACCAGGCAAAAAAGGCCTTGCAGGGATTCGCCTTATTTTGTGACAGAAATATTGATTTCTCAGCCATTTATTGTTTGATCTTGTTTAAACTCGAGTCGGCCTACATTTATTACAATTCTCCTACATAACAAATACCCTGTGAGGTCCATCTCAGTTGTGGACTTGTTGGGAGGGAGGTCGGGATGGGTCGGAACGTCCAATTTAACCGATATCACCCAAATAAAAAATACATATCCTCCAGTAGCAATGTAAGCTACTTGTTACATTTGTTATTTGTTTCATATCTACAGTAAACAGAAGTACTCACGTTTCCATTAGAGTAAGGAAGTAACACACTGAATATGAGCTGATTGTGTTTTTGGCCTCTGGGGACATCAAAACAAAAAATACTGACCATAGCTGGTTTTCTATATGGGAAATTCGCTAATATTCCCTACATGGGGATTTTGCTAAAAATAAAATGTTGATAGTAGTGCACAGGACAAAAATTATAACAGAAACTGTATGGATCATAAATAACCAAATCACCACTGGCTTCGACAGATCCATTTATGTTTTACTTTTGGGCCAGGGACATAATTTGACAATGATCGTTGGTGCACACAATTAGAAGCTCAATGCACTATGTTGTTTCTTAATAACAATAAACGGTATCAGCAATCTGACACATACTTTCTCCCATTAGCTTGTCAACAATCTTTATCATGAGTGAGCGGCGGGAATAACTATGATATTTTATGGGAAAAATCCCAAAAGTTTAAATAAATTTTGAACCATAATTTTTACAGCAATTAGAGTTGTAACATTTTTTTGTGGCATTTTAAGGATCAAAATAAAATACTAACATTTTAATGCAAATCGGTCGATCTGTTTATTTGAAAATCTGATTTCTGTCGTTTAATGGGTTTTTTATGGGAAAACCACATAAGTTAGGGCAGGTTACCTGCCTCAGGCAACATGAAATACAATAGAGGCATATAACATGCCTGCCTACTCTACTGGCCTTGTGTAAACATCGCTTTAGGGCAAGTATAAGAGAGGTTAAAACTTAAAATTGCTAAAAGAATGGACTCTACAATATAAAATATTAAAAGAAGAAATTTGGAAAACAATTAACGTTATATTATGGCCGCCCCAGGAGATAGTGGGCAATGGCCCCCTAACTAACAAAAGCTAGATTAAAAATGCAAAATTTTTGGTAAGGTTGTAACTTGTAAATAGATTGTGGAAACATATAAGAAGCAAGAAGCTTAACCCGTTGTGGCTTTGCTCACAAAAATTTAAGTTAAACATGTAACCAATCAAGTTAAGAGACAACCTAACAATACAATATTAACTTACTTTCCTTCTACCAGGGAGCTTCGGACTGCTCACTCTGAAACCACCTACATAGTATTTTCGGCCAGAAAAAATTCCCGCTGTATCTCCTTTCATAGGTTTATACACTTCAACCTAATTTTCCAATTGTACTGTCAGATCTCTCATAACTTAAGTGGAAAGTTTTATGTACCTATAAGTAACATAAAAACCTTCCACGATGATTATTGTGGTTCTGATAACCCTCAAAGGTCCTAAACAGTTGCAGGTCTACATGTCTATAATGTTTTCACCAAGCGGAATGCACTCACATAAAAGTGGCTTGTCTCACCTCTCCAGTAAAAAGAAGTATTAACACTCGATATCATGCGTACGGTACATTTCTATAGGGGAAATCGTTATTAGGCTAGGGCTGGAAGGCTAAGCTTATCAAGCCCTTCTGATCTTCTCTCTGAGCACCCATATTATAAAAATTATCAAGAACTTGGGTTTGGGTTTGCTGAAGACTTGTAACCACTATTAATATGAATAATATGCCCTGGAAAGGTTCTGATTCTGAAGCACAACAAGAGGTATACAATACTTCCTCCCTTTGTGATGGCCAACACTCAGCACTGTGATGGATGGAGTATTTTGATTCCACAGTTTGCAAGCTTTTCACTACTGTTGTGCCAAAAGATTCCTTGTATGTTTTTTTGTCTTTGGGCCTTGGTGGGAATTAATTACGTGTGAATTGTAAATTCCTAGTGTTGTGTCCATCCACAGAGAAAGTAAGGTTCAGAGGAAACACTTACATAGTGTCAAGCACAAATCGCTAGTATCTAGGGCAAAAAAGGTCCAATACCGCCCCCTCGCTCTTCTGTACTACACCACCCACTGCGGAGGAACACCCTGTGCCCTGTGTGATAGGAATTTCCGCACAGTTCTTACCGCTCAGGCTCTTCCTAGCTCGTCACAAGTATATTTCCGGCACAACTTACTAGAAAACAGACTAGCCAACCATTTATCATGCGCTAGCTTGAAACACACCATGTTTTGTAAGTTGACACAAGCATATACGTCACTGACATTTCTTTTACTGTTTTTTTTTTTTTTTTAAATGCGACAACATTTAGCAGAAAATTCTGATTTTGGTAGTCGAATTCCCTCTTAGATTTTCACATTTAAATGTTTCCTATCCACTGTCGGGTATCGGTATCAAATCTTGATAATGGTATTCGTTACCGATGTGCGTTTAATCCCAACCTTTCAGTAACAGTGGTATTTAGAATCGACACACACATACTGAACAGTTTCTGGTTTCTTTGTGTTCTTTTCCCATTTTTTTTGCGCACCCTACTGAGTAATCAGCTGATTTGATAGAGTATCGCTTTGTGTTTGTAGTTGTCTGCTAAACACATGACACCGCACATCGCTAGAAACTTACAATACAGAGTACTTCGTATAAATCTTTCATATTTACAGAAATAAATAAACAGTTGTTAGCTATTCCAGTTTGGAAAATGTAATAAACATTTGATGTATGCTAAGCAGGGACCCTGCGAGGCTTCCTTGGGCGAAGGGCCCTCTGCAATCACGGACATGCTGGTCAGTGTTAAGGAATATAATTCCTCCTTATGAACTTAGACATTTGAGGAAAACAAACAAACATCAAACTTATGATGGAAATGTTTATTTCACAAGTTCATGGGTAAAACTAAGTCCCAAAAAGACATAAAGAGAAGTTTTCTTCTCAGTTCTATTTTTTTATTGAACAACTCCTGCCTTAAATCGTTGGGAATTTGAGTCTGTATAATCATTAGATCCTTACGACTGTTTTATATCAAAATAAATTTACAAATCATAACAAGGTTTTAGTTTCTAGCTTATACTACATTTACAAGTACATCTAATATTCAACAATCCACACTGTTTTAAGTATCATGAATGAAATACATTACATCACAACTATAGACTATCACAACATATCAGGGCAATTGTTACCCACTAGTGATTCAATCAAATGCTTTCAAATAGAAAAAAAATAACAAGCAAAATAAACTAATAGAGGATTAAGATCAAACGTTTTAACCCCTTAGTTACTTAATTGTAAGTTGAAAATATCCCTTTATTCATATAGTTTTAGTGAGTTTTTGTTACTTTTATTTTATAGACTTTAAAATTGTCTTTACGTGAATGTAAATGTTTGCCTCATAAAAATGGTTTAAGTTCAGCACAAAATAATACCCCCTAGATTTTAAAGTTTTTACCAGAAATATAAATGGCACAAAATAATTAAGCCAGTCAACAAAAAGAGACCCCTTCCCATCACCATTTTATTAAGAAATATTTGTGCAGGTAATAAAGATATGGTACAACTAAAACACAATTTGCTCAAGTATATTGAAGTAAATGGTGTTTCAAGTAACTCAAAGTAAAAACTAAATCATCTTTTCTAAAACTGCCAGCTGCATTAAAAATAGTGGGTTAAAATTAAAGTACAAGATAAGATAATAACACAAGATAATAAGTATAAGAAAGTTCTTTCCATTCGTCCCCGTAGGAAAAAGAAGTTTTTAGACCTTTTTATCACAGATCAAATTGACTATTTTAACTAACCAGAAATTAATGTTAAACTAATAAAGCACTATTCATCGTTAAACAATGACTCAAAGCCCAGGATAAGTGATATGTTTTAGATTATGTAAACACAAATTTATCTTAACATGCACATAACTATACATTAAAGGCGCTGAACTTATTTGACACCGATTACATTCTCAAATATATTCTCAATGTGCTAATAACTAGGTTGTGACTTTACCATTAATGAATTAAATCGATAACAGAGCAAGAACATGGATAAATCCAAACTATAAATGCCAAAGAAATTTAATCTTTCCTCGTAATATCTTTCAAATGCTCTTAAGAATGAATAATGGTGGGTATGAGAATATAAAGTGTCTGTTCAACGAAAGTGAAAAGTATCACCAACAACTGTCTTATCAGAGCAATCACTGATTTTATTGGTGTGAACTAAAGACTACCCAACGTATTTCAGTACAGAAATTCCATCACTGAAACATTAACCTCCTCTTTAAAAACTAACCTCAACAATCTACAAGATGAAAAACTATCCTTATTGTGAGGACAGGCTTAAATACTTTAATAACAAGATGGACAAGGTTAGTGTGTTAGTGACTGTCCGATATCACATGAGTGGTGACGAAAGCTGCGAGATGTTCGCTATCACGGCTCGTGAGCTGTCGGCGGCCACGCTGCAGCTCAGATCTTGGAGTCGATGATGAGTTCATCTCCAGAACAAATGTTGTAGCTGTAGATCTGTTTGTTAGGGAACTTCATTTCCTCTGGTCCAAGAGAGGCCATGTCTTGGTCTACGTAGAACAGACGCATCTTGGCTACAGGGATCTTGGCAAACGGCTCCAGTTTCTGCTTCAACTCCTGCAAAAGAAGGTTTGTTAGTAAAACAACATTACATGAGGTTGGGTTAGTGTAAGCCACTCGGTTCTGTTTTTAGTAGCAACTTATTAATAGATTTTGCTGTAATCCACAGCCACATTTTGGCTGACCTCTATCTGTTGACAATTAGTATCTTTATGAAGTTTTTTCCAGAGCAAATATACTTTTAGGAAATAATGATTTGCTTGGCGAAAAATATATAATATAACCTCAGTAATTTAGCCTTGGCTAGCCTGACTCCTCGCTTAATCTGACCGTGCCATCGCCAATCGGTGACTATGTTATCTCGGTAATATGATGACCATTTCCGATAGTCATGTGGACATCATCATCGTCTTCTGAACTGCGGTAAAATCCTAGACCAAACCCACAGTAATGGAAAAAGTCACCATCGTCTATGGCTATTGCAGCAAAATATTGACCCATCTCCCGAACTCATGGGGTCTCCCGTGATCACAGATCCTATAACTAAATTTCCAGACAAGAAGGGAGGGTTCAGTATAGCATGTTAGGAGTATGTATTGCGCATGTTTTAAGGTCGATTCACACACACATCTGTTCCGGCACGTCGCACGTTCTGTGTAACTGTGACTGGACCCGGGCCCCCCTTTTTACTTGGGGTTAGTCAAACACCCCAGACCCCCCACATGAGTACAGACTTTGAGCTCATCCATCCCCCCCCCCCCCAAAGCCATGTTCTAGTTATGCCACTGATCACAGTGGCATAACTAGAACATGGCTTTGGGGGGGGGGGATCAACTGACAATATTAATCAATAGATAATCATATCTATTGATTAATTTTGTCAGTTGATAGATGTGTATGCTGAAAAGTATTTGACATAGAAAATTGGGAAAAGTAAGGGAGTTTGTAGAAAGTCATAAATGTCTGCAAAACAGGCCCAAAGTGGGTGATCATAAGTTTCTATTGAAACATTTACAGTAGAACCTCTTTAATCCGAACTAATTAGGACAGGGGGTAGTTCGGACTATTGAATAGTTTGGATTACAGAATATATTGTTGTTTGTACATAACAAAATGGCTAAAATGGATCGTAATTGTTACAGAAAAAGTGAAAAATGGTTTATAAAGTTAAATACAGTATTTATTTAGTACAGTAGGAAACATAGTGAATAAACAGTAATGTACAATACAATAGAAACAATTACGGTGCTTATACCAATAAATACAGTATACAATAAAGAACTACTGTACGGTGTATAGAGTACAGCAATGGCGTTCGGATTAGTGAACGTTCGGACTACGGGGGTTCAGATTAAAGAGGTTCTACTGTATTGAATTTGAGGAAACTTTGCTTGATGACCTTTGTGTTTTAGACTTCCAGAGCTTTCTGTAGTTCTTGATAGTTTTGTAAGGGTGTAGCATATTAGTTTGACAGCGTCCCTTGTTCAGCAACACCGTGATTCAAATGCAAAATTTCTCAAGCTTTGTTTACTGCTACAAAGGAAACTGATAAAAGTCAGCCTACACCAGGCAGGGGGAACACTGTGCAAACATTTTGATACCACCTCCAAACTACCTCTACCTCTTGTACACATTTTCTTCGTCCATATACTTTACTCCATTCACAAAGCCAAATGGTAGGATTTAATTAACTTCAATAGCGGTTTAAGACTGATTCCACAGAAATATAATCACAGACCATTGTTTTCCTAGCGTAAATTTTCTTTCACAATAGTTTTTTTTTTTTTTTTTAATACCATGACAAGACTAATCATCTCATAGGGAGAAGAGCCATCCAGAAGATTAGTAATAGAACTAAGAAGTAAGAACACTGGTCTCAGAATTGAACTAACTTGTTTTTGGTTGATAGAGGAGCTTGATGGAGACCATAATTTACAGTCAATACTCGTAATTCATTATTTGGTTACTACACCATCCATTGTTTACCTGAACAGTCTGGTAGACGTTTATGCTCCTCAGTTCTGTGTTTTGGCCACAAGTGACACTGACTTTCACTCTTCTCTCAGGTGACAAGTCTATGTTGACTAGAGGTTCCAGCTTTCCATGAATAGCAACCAAATCTGAGTACCTGCAAATACAATCATTCGGGTAATTTTTATCAAAAATCATTTGGTAAAATAAATTAAAATTGAGATCTGGAGGGGGGTTCTCTAACAATGGTTGTCAAAATATTTCAAAATTGCTTTGTTTTGACGTTTACAACCGTAATAAGCCTTAGCATTGACTATACGCAGAATAAGCTTCCCATGTGTAAAAATTGCAAGCCAAACAACAAGTTTATCGCTCTCTGCGACATGTTGAGATGGTCTAACAACTAATGGCAATATTCTTTGTCAAGTGATACATCAATCAGCTTTTTTCTATGATAGTCATTGATTTTAATTGGTATTTAGCCCAATACACTAGTTAGTGCCCTCGGATAAGAGAGTTCTGAATTATATGTATTTTCTTCGCATCCAATTTTTACATAACATGGGAAGTCTTTTCTGTGTATAGTCAATGGCCTTAGCTTGAAAGCTTAGATATGGTCCTACACAGAAAAACACAGTTTGAAAGATTATGCTCAGCAATTATGACAATAAAATTCACAAGGGAAATTATAGAAAACTATTTATAAATTGGTAAAAACAAGATAAGCTCCTCATTTACTAAGACCCTCATGGTGGAGGAAGACCCTGTGTCCTGTGTGATAAGAATTTCTTCACAGTGTTCACCACTCCGTCACAAGTATATTTCCAACACAACATACTAGAGTTGAGAGAGCACAGTGTAATAAGCAAGTTTCCTCTGTACGTTACTTCTCTGTGAGAAAACTGTTCTTACCTTAAAGAACTTCTTATAACCATCCTACTGGGTCCAAAACCAAACAGTTAAATTATTTCCATTCTTGTAAGACTGGTGACTGTGGTTTACCTTTCAGGACGATCGCTCTCAGGCTTGTCCATGTAGTATCTGATGAAAGCTCTTTCCGCATCCTCTCTCTCCTGATGCTGTATTTGTCCTCCACCATTCAGTGTTGTGATGTTTGGCAGTCGGGCAATCAACAACTGTCTCCTCTCGTGTTCTGTGTATTCCTAAAATACAATACACATGCGTAAAAAAAGTTACAAAACTAAACATACGGTAGTCAACAGAGAGTAATTTATTGAACAGTTTGGTAGGCTTTTGATACTCTTGCAGGCATATGCCCAGGGGGGCCGGAGGTTTAGGGGCGCTCACCGGTTGCCCCCTAACCACCGCCCGCCCGCACTAGGAAAAAAGGGGGCGCTGCTTTTGGGTTTGCTTAGGGCTCCACTTACCCTTAACGCGGCCCTGTACTCTTGTGATAGGTAGTGTCGAAGTAACTTATTACAGAGATTAAAACCCTTTTACAAGCACTAAGAAGTAGCAAAATACCTGATTCAAAGGTCTACCTACTCATCACCTCTACAAGAGCTATTGATAAATAAAGTAGTCCTCTCCCATAAACGTATGCCAGAGGCACGTGTACTTATCATGAATTGAACTCCAGAACTGATTTAAAGACCACTCATTAAATTTTATACTTTACCGCAATGAAACACTCAAAACACCTTTGCGTAATAGTTCTAGACATGTCGCCTTGGTCTGCAGTTCATGTCAGGAACAGTTTTAACCCATTTTTTTATTAAAGGTTTTGTCGTGTTACTCATGATGGAAGAGTGGTTTATTTCATGGGGAAAATGGAAAATACTCTTTTCAATAAAAATAAATTCTTACATAACTAAGTATTCTCAGGTCCCTTATTGCATACACACCCAAAAACCCAACATTACACCGTTCCAATTTAAGCTAATTACCATTTTTGGTTTCATAGTATGAAAAGGGTTCAACAAAAGGTCAAGATTTTTCCAAATTCACTCACATCAAACAGCGGGCACCCTTGTATCCGCAGACAATGTAACGCTGGAAACCTGCCTAGCCTCTCAACGTCTTCCCACGAGTGGATAAGTGTTCCGTTTAGGTTGAGTAGCCGCAGTTGTCGAAAGCTGTCGTGTGGTGAGTTGCGTCTCGGGCTGCCTTCACACTCGCTCTCTGACCGAGAGTAAACGTTGCGCTCGGGAGAGGAACACGGACTGCTGGGGTCTAGTGAAGCCAGAGGACAATCAGCGACTACCAACATCTCCAGGTTTGGGAAGGCTCTGCCTAACTTGCAGATCTCACACCACTCTGAAACTGGGTTGCCTGTAACGAAATACAAATATTGGATCAGATGTTGTCTTTGAATCAAACAAGCAACCATAGGAAATGGAAGTTTGGTTCAAGTCTTGTTTCAGTGATTTAATCTTTTGTGGCATCAAGTGCTGGCCTTATAATAGTGAAAGTTGAACGAATGTCAATTTGTGCATGAGGCTGACCATAAGTAGGCCTATGTGTATGCATTACTCCAAATTCTATTCTAATAATTTGCAAATTGGGATTAATTATCATTTTTATGAGATCAGAACATGATGTGCAGATATCAATGAAATAGCATCTGTTTCCTCTGGCAAAGTCATTATTCATGGTAATTGAAGACAAGCCATTTTCTCAACCATCAATAGGATGTTAGCACTGTTTATTTAAAATTTGTTAAAGAATAACTAGAACTAAGAGACAAGGTCAGGAACTTGAATGTATTATCTACAATAAACAGTGGCCCTATTCCTACTCCTGCCTATCCTTCTTCATAAACTGTCCCAGCAGTCGTGGTTATGAGTTCATGTGTACGATCCACATTCTAAATGGAAATCCTGAAGAAGCGGGACGTTTTTAGGTTCCGCAAAACATCGGACTTGATTATCAGGGCGATTGCGTGTGATGTACGTGTGAATGTGTTTAATCTTATATGATAAGCCTTGATATAACAAGATAAAAAGAAAGGCGAGTCCACAAAAAAATAATCATCACAATTGAATAATACCTGGTATAAAAGCACGTAATTCAAAAATGGCATAGAAAAACAATAAAAACCAATGGTCAATAATTTTTTCATAACAGCAAGTGACAGTCAAATATTAAATACTTAATATACCTGTGAAATGAAGTTTCTTCACATTTTGATGCCTGACAGAGGGTTCATCTGAGAGGTCATCGTCAATCTCCACTTTGATGAAGTTATTCAGACTTAAATGAAGTTCTTCTAAGCTGTAAAAATAAATCAATTTTAGAGAAAGAAATTATATTTCAATTTACAAGATTAATATATACTAGAGGACCCATGCTGCTCCGCAGCGTTAAAATAAATATAATATCCGAGAAAAAATCAAATTTTTATGATTTTTGATTGAGTAATACAGTATCTTAATCGCTTACATAAAAGCCGATATTTCACTAAAAGCTCTTAGACCAAAATATATAGGATTATATAATTATAATTGGTAAAATACATCTTAAATTGATGTAAGAATTTGAAAATTATACTAATAATTTTTTGTCGAGTAATACAGTAGGTAAGTAAGTATATGCCGATGCTTGATGTGAAATCTTTGCGTGCATGACTTCAATTTGAGACCTCAATCATGAAAATCGATCAGGTAGAAGAGCCAAATGAACACGGAAAAGAAAAACTAAATTTAACTCTTGTAAGAAATGCATGGGGAGCAAATTTCGTTTACGTATAAGCCGAATGGGATTATATATAAAAATATGCCGACGCTTGATAGCAAATTTTTGCTTGCATACCTTCAATTTGAGACCTCAATCATGAAAATCGGTCGGGTAGAAGAGTCAAACGAACTCGGCAAAGAGAAACCAAATTTAACTCCCATAGAAATACATGGGGAGAAAATTTCATTTACGTACAACCTGAGTGGGATTATAGATAAATACACGCCGATGCTTGATGGCAAATCTGTGCGTGCATACCTTCAATTTGAGACCTCATCATGTTAATCGGTCGGGTAGAAGACCCAAACGAACTCGGCAAAGAGAAACCAAATTTAACTCCCATAAGAAATACATGGGGAGCAAATTTTTGTTTACGAATAAACCGAGTGATACTATAGATAATTATATGCTGATGCTTGATGGCAAATCTGTGCGTGCATACCTTAAAATTGAGACCTCAATTTTATTCAAATTTTTGGTATAGAAGAGCCAAACGTAGTCGGAAAAGAAAAACCAAGTTTTTTTTAATTAAGATATATATTTCTGTAAATACGTAATAGTTATCTTACATAATACTGGACATGGAGCTGCTTCAAAGTTGAATGTTTATGGAATGTTTCTCCAAACACTAACAGTAACTCTAAACACTGTGACCTCCTATGATCACACCCGACTCCAGAAATAGAGTCTGAACCATCATTGAAACAAACATGAATTGTGAATGAGATCTCACAACACAAATCACTTCACTGTTGTTTCTGTGCAGTCTTGGACTGTGTCTAAAATTAGAACCTTAAACATGGAAGTAATCACCTGCGATGTATATATTTCAACTTTTAATACTCAATGGAAACCATAGATCCCCAATTCCACACTCACAGTGCAGCATGGAGTGTCCATGAGCTATTTTTAGCGAATTTCCCATATAGGGAATAAGCTATTACCGTAGTACTCACGGTAAGACCTGGACCCGGGACCGATTTTTTTTTTCGTTTTGAGGTCCCTAGAGGTCAAAAACACCATCCGTTCAAATTCATATATATATATATATATTTATATATATATATATATATATATTTATATATATATGTGTCCGTTAGCACGATAACTCGAGCAAAAATGATCCGATTTTGATGAAATTTGGTACAAACGTGTAAACCTACGTTTATTCGAACGAGTTCGCGAACCAGCATGATCGGACCATGGGAACGGGGGTTTATGGGGGCTTTTATGGGGTAAAAATGGGTTTTTCCCATTTTTGACCCAAAAAACATAAAATTTTGCAATTTCTTTCGAAACTATTTTGTAGAGCTTAAAAAAACAAATAATTTAGTATATTGAAGCGTTATAATGCGCCTAATGGTTACGGAGAAAATTCCAAAAAATTGTAAATTTAAAATTCCCATGTTATTCTTATGGAGAATAAGTAAACTGTTGTAGTTTGCTTGTTTATAAACATATTTTGCCCAAATTTGGAAAATGTTTTTATTTCTTACTAACTATTAACATTTTACATAAAAAAACACTTTTACGCTCCCTGTTGCAGCAAACCTAAGTATGTTTTAAACTGATTCTATTTAAATAGGGAATAAATGTGATATTTTTAAGGAGACATTTTAGTGTAAATCCATTTAGGGAAATGGAAATTCGCTTAGTCTGCAGGTTTGCTGCGGCGGGGGTATTTTAATGTTATTTTCAAAGACATTAGCTGTCCTACAAAATATCAGCGCCGGCAATATCATTTAGTCAAATGTCAACTATAAAAACAATAAGGTTTCAGAAATAAGTAAAATGTACTTTAGCACCTTCATGAAGGTCGAGGAAAGTTGACACAATCCCAATGAAAATAATCATGATGTTAGATTATACTAGATCTGTAGGCTAAACGCCAATCATTGAGCTTTGAAAATGGTTATGAATGGAACTAACACTAAGGTCATATTGTAAGCTTGTACTTTAAAGGAAAGCCAAAGGCTGATAAGGATTTGTTTAGAAAAGGGGAGAGAGTTCGGCTAGCTTATTTAAGAAAATCCGAGTCCAGAGGCTATGTTACGAAATTAAAAGTCACAAAACATGGCACTGATATTTGGTCATAATACTGGACTTTATAAGAGATTAGGTTGAAGACAAATATGGAGAAAGCCCTAGATCACACAAAACAACAGCACAAATTATCAGTGTTATGTTGTAACTGTTATTGTGTATCTATTACCAACTGGACCAGGATTGCCACCCTAGGTTAGGGAAAAATCGGGACATGGCCCCCTCCCCCTTGATTAACATAGTCTTAAATATGGGCATAAGGAACCAAAATCGGGACTGTACCGACAGAATCGGGACGGGTGGCAACCCTGCCATGGACCCTAATTTTCTTTGGTAAGCTAGCAGAACTCTATCCCCTTAAATTTAAACTTAAGTGTTTTTAATGATTACACCTTTTATTGAACATACGTAAGAATATATATAAGAAAATAAGATACTATTCTGGTACTAATCTGGATATAACTCCACTAACACATACCTTGGCAATACATTGAGTAGATGTCTAACGCTAGGCCAGTCCACTTGTGTGTTGTTCAGTACGAGATTGGTCAACAGAGGGAAGTTATCACAGACCTTGCCTTGAATACTCTCTGAGAGAAGGTTGAAACTGAGGTTGGCAAACTTCAGCTGGGGCATGTGCCTCAGAATGCACAGGATCTGACAGGGGAAAACACGGTTTTACCAGTTTGTCTATTCTCAAGTCAGGATTAGTGGTTTGAGGGGTGAGAAAAAGGGGCGTTTATACTAGCCTCTACAACACTAGGATGGTAAAGCAGGAAAGCATACAACAACAGAAAGTAATATCCATTTTAAACAATAAAAACTACCAACATTTTCACAAAAAACATTAACGGAAAATGAATTAATAATGAAGCATGAAATGTAAAGTTTTTGATTTATGTACAAGAATTTCATATCAACAATTTAACTTCTTTGTCATTGTTATGTCACTAGATATTTTTCACGTGAGCTATAAATTTCATCACTACGGCCTTTTAAATACAATCTATAAAACAGATAACAAATTTGGGTATAGAGTTCACGTTAGCGAGAAATATACCAATATGAGCAAGATAACCTCTAACTTAAATGATCTAATGAAAGATTTTTCGTCTTGTTTTGCTGTTGTAAAATTTTAATATTTACTGCTATATGTCTATTTTGTGTTTTGAGAATAAAACAGTTTTTTTATTTCTTTTTACAATCGTATGTTTATTTGTAGCACAACACAAATGACAGTCTGATGTGCTTAACTAAGGCTTTTTGCAATCCCCTGAAAAGCATCTCTCTATAAAATAAACTAATCTACAGTCTGATGAACCTGCAGAACCCCTGAGAAATTATCTGTCCCTTTAGTTAACTTACCAAAGGAGTCAGTCCTTACTGACCCCTTTTACGGTGAAAGAGCAAATGTTCATCAGTGGCCTTTTTGATAATATTCCAGTCCTAGGAAAGGAGTTCCGCATCAGTTTGTGACAAGGGAAACTCATGTGTGAATTTAGTCAGACCTGAGCAAGCCTTTCATCTTTTTTTGTGTTCATCGTGTAGGAGTCGATATTTGATTTAGCTATTCCAGGTTCAAGAACTTGAGTAAAGTAATAAAGTAGATTACTTTTATCTTGTTGCCTTTGTTAATGAGTAGTACTTTGTATGCATGTTTTGCCAGCTTGTGTGCCATAATGTGTCTTCGTCTTCTAAGGTTAACACACTAAGACAAAAACGCTATCGTCTAAATATTTCAGAATATTAATTTACACACCGTTACACGTTTATAATGTTGTAAATGATTAACGGTGTGGGGTCGAGCGAGAAGCATAGTCGATTGAATAATGTGACAATAAACATGGTGGTTTACAGAAAATGTGTTCTTTGCCTCTCCCCCTGTCATCAGCTGTCCAATGCCCCAAATTCCAATACCCTGTCAAAGAAATTAAAGAAAAAGACTCCTGCCAACAAGTGTTTGCCCCGACTTGTCCGTCATTGTTTCACTCAATCTGGGTACGTACGAATAAATTTGTGTAAATATTACTAAATATATAAACAATAATAATGTTAGTGTTAGTGTGATAACATTGGAAGGCCCCTTTGATGATGTAACACAAGCTGGTGAAATTTGTGTAGGGTAATTTACAAACATCTACTCAAGTAAACGCTTTGATAGTTTGCTGCTCACCTCTGACCATTCTGTCAGACTGTTCTGAGCCAGGTCCAGTTCCTGCACACGGCTGCACTTGTCCTGCAGAATATCAGGGTTTCCTGCAGAATCAATGCTGCAGTCGTTGAACACTAGAAGTGAAGGCAGGCTGCCGCGTGGAGGGGGGACAAATATAGCGATGGCTGGCATGATCTTGTCACAACATTCCCAGTCATCGCCGTACTTGCGTTCTATGGCCTCCAGCAACGATGGCATCTTGCGGCTGAAACAATATGCAACTCGCTCAGACACATTTCAATAATTTACTTGACTCTATCCATATCGAAACGATGTCAATGTCTACTATCCAATGTATTGCTTTGGTGGTCAATGGAGTGAATACATGGTTGAGTGGTTTTGTTTAAGAAGTTGCATATTTATTTTTGCTTATTATAGTTGGGATCCTTAATTATGCCTTTAAACAATACTGTAGGTCAATCTAAGATAGTAACAAGACAGTGGTTAGTCTACAAAGTTTGTTCCCTTACAAATACAAAGTCAAAAACATTGAAAGTGCAATTCAAAACTAATTCTCTGTTGCTCAATGTATAATACATTAACTTTAACATTACATAATGCAATGCTATCATTATCTGGATGGAAGTATCTATGCAAAGATGCAAACCTTCATTTCATTCCCTTGCTCTTGGCCGAAGGTACTCAAGCAGCTCACTTCCCTCATACTCGTCTGACTGGACGATTAGTGCTTTGTACATTGAAAAATAAATTAAAAAAGAACTGCAATACACAAGTCTAAAGCAGTAGCAAATAGGCCGTCGAATCATTATTGTCAAAACATATTGAAGTTGCTAAAACCGGAGCTATATTTTTAAGAAAAGAGTTCTGTTTTGAGAACTGAGCTATGGTAAGTTAAGTCATAGTTGTGATTTTACTTCTTTACTTCTTCATCTATGTGACACACCCAGATATTGATGCACTCTTGATTTTGAGTAAATATAATGCATGATGAGTAAAAATTAGTGTATTCCAGTAATTTTCTGTAAATTTCTAAAGTGCACCTCACTATCATCTGAGAACTGACTAACACTAGAGATGTTCATCATTTTGTAGTGATTGTGTCATGATGGAAGACAATGACAATGTCTCTGAGACTGCAAAAGGTCTTCACAACTTAACTACCACCTAATTGTGGATTATTAATTATATTAATGTTAATATACATTGGGCAACAGAGAATTGTGGATATTTATAGGGATGCACTGTGGATGCGATGCTCCCTGGTGTGGATTAACGTCCGCACTAGTGAGTACTACGACTATCCGCAGTACTATCCTGATAATTAGACCAATTCGTAAATTACGAGGAAAAAATGTGGTTCGGATTCCACTATAAAATGTAGGTCCCTTAGTTGCCATTAGCTGGATGGGCTATTAACAGCTGTGTATAAGGAACATGTCGGCTTTAGTCACCAACAAGACTACAAGATCGCGCCACTCATCCTACACTCATCCTTCACTCATATTTGGGTTAAAATACGCACATAGTGGCGTCCCCATCTTAAATAATTGATAATTGATAATATAATTTACATACATAGCCTGGGTAGCCAAGTAGTGCTTGCCTTCAAATCTGAATGTCAATGGATCAATTCAACCGAGATTGTTACCAGGCCCACATGACTCAATAGATTGACGTTACACAGTAACAAGACCATGGTAGGGATGGGACCGTTCCCTTACAAAAAAGGTCAATATAAATCCCATTGGCGTAAAAAGACACAATAAGTGACTCACGATTTTGCCGCAACCATTAAAGATACTCACTATCTCGCGGACAGTAGGATACAATCCCGATTTTATTACGACCTCAGGATTCTTGATTCTGCCACTACCTAGGGAGGTGTTATTAATTTAACTTATTTGATCACGGGAAATGTTCAGGATTTCACCACCCTCACAGAGGAGTTATAGATGTTTTGAGTAATAAAATAGCTTAAATTAAAATTTGGTTAAACCCACTTTGAAAATTCATGGGCGGCATATATCCTACATCATGAACCGGAGCGGAAACTCTGTTCATTCGCGTTCCCGATCCACTTAAACCACGTACTAGTGTAATCCAGTTATTTTGATGTTGGGTATAGGCCTACTGGGCTCAAATTTACAGACTTTCTTGTAATCCGACTAATAATCTAAACGATAAAAATTTATAGTTTTCTCTGTGTGTCAGGTTCCTAAAAATTAAGTTTTCTTACTCAACACTGATCATCAAGGAGCGAAGGATTGACAATCCAATTGCAAAGCTCATCTGACACATTGCATACCCAGTGGGTTGTAACCTATATTGTGTTCCATATTTTGAAATAACCCCAACACCAAATTAGAATCCTACCATTTTGAACAGCCCAAAACAACAATTAAAATTACAAATATGAGGAATAATTGTACAGCAGAAGCATGTGCAATTATGAGTGAACATACTAAAGGCAATTGTGTTGATTATTTCTCCACGTCGGTCCCACGTGCCAAGTCAGTTGCCAGTACGAGGTATAGAAGTGTGGGTGGTGCCTGGCACACGAGTCACTGAACGAGACAAAACTTCACCTTACAACCGTGTGACTCAAAAAATTCAATCAGCAAATAACATAGCACAATAAAAGCGAGATCAAACTGTTAACTTTCTTGCAAATTATTGCCTTTTTAACTGTCCAGATAGGTAATCAAGGTTTTGTTATTTGATCCAAGGTTTTTTTTTCAAGTTTGATAAAAAAAATACATGTTTTGTATTTCGTAATGCAATTTCTTGGTATTTCTAGTTAGCCAGTCCAAAAGAAGAATGGAGAATAGCAACGTTTTGAGCCAAAACTTTCTAAACCCAAAATATGAAGATTGTTGATTACTTCATCTATGGTTGAAGTACAGATAAAACTTTTGAGAGTGGAAATTAAGATAATAAGTTACAATTTAAAATGTCAGTAAAAAATATGAATAGCCTTTAGACTATATTTATTTTTTTATTCATGTTTCATTCAGAATTAGCTTATATGTAGCCTATGATCAATGACAGCTGCATCCAGCTTTGAAATCTCACAAAACAGAGAATCTTAGTCTTTATACACGGTAAACGATGTCAATGATAGTATTGTAACAATGTTTCTTATTTTGACTACAAAAATATTTAATAGCTCACTCTGGAAAACCTGAGGACTTTCACAATTGAATTCCCAAGTGAATATAGGTACAAGTGTGGTTTACAGAATTTTCAAAAAAAGCCTACAAACGCACAGAATAAGGAAATTGGTAACATGCCAGGTGATCAACTGGGCGCCGCAATGTTTCTGAACCCAGGCCTGGATGGATCTAAATTAAGAGCAACAGTTTGACACACTAACAGAATCTTGCACAATCTTGGCCAAAAATACTTGACCTATATGATGGGTAAAAGTCTTGTGTCCGAATGAAGTCTGACTCCACAATAAAGACTATTGGACTTCTAAACATGTGTGGCTTTTATGATTCAGACTGAGTAGAAATTTACGTTTTCAGGGAAACTAAATAAAACATTATTCTTTTATTTAAAACAAATAAGAGGATTGTAAGGACCAGTTATATTCCAGTTTTGTGCCAGTGTCTTGTTAACATTGCCTATATTGAGACTTAATTTGTCTAGGGGTTTTTTATATTTCAATTCATGAAAGAATCCAAAGAATTCCTGAAATTGTCAACAATTTTTTTTCAATACCTATGAAAAATGAAAAACCCATTTTTACAATGTAATAATAAGCAGTGAGATTGGTATAAAATAAATTTTGCATATCTACCCCATATGTTTTTGGACAAATGTCTAATAGCATAAAGTAAATCTCATCCTTTGTAAACATAAACCACTCTATGTGTGCATTAAGTGTAACATTGTCTGTTTTGAATATACAGGGTTAGTAAAAAGTGTGGAGACCCCCTGTTATTTTTTTAACGGCCCATACTAGAAAAACTAAACTCGGCACACCATTATGGCATGTTATGAAGTACTTTTTGGGCATAACTGCCACTTGGTGTTCACCCCAAAATGGGGGATTTTGGGGGAAACTAAAAAATTTCAAATACAAAAACCCATCGAGTGACCCCTCATTTTGAAGGTCCTGGTAAAAGAAAACCAACAACGCAAACTAGAGGTCTCTATTTCAGTTCAGTACAAAATGGCAGCCGATTGAAATTCTCATAAGTTCTTAAACCCAAAATGGGGGATTTTGGGGGAAACTCAAAACTTTTAATGATAAGCCCCATCGAGTGACCCCTCATTTTGAAGGTCATAATAAAAGAAAACTAACAACACAAATTATAGGTCTCTATCTTAACACAGTAAAATATGGCAGCCAATTCAATATAAAATTGCAAGTTATTTCCGATTTTAAAGATTTCAATCACCTTCCATTTTTTACTGGATTGAGATAGAAACCTCTAGTTTGCGTTGTTAGTTTTCTTTTACCAGGACCTTCAAAATGAGGGGTCACTTGATGGGGCTTATCATTAAAAACTTTTGAGTTTCCCCCAAAATCCCCCATTTTGGGGATGTACACCAAGTGACGGTTATGCCCAAAAAGTACTTCATAACATGCCATAAAGGTGTGCCGAGTTTAGTTTTTCTAGTATGGGCCGTTAAAAAAATAACAGGGGGTCTCCACACTTTTTACTAACCCTGTATATATATATTCTATTGTTGTGAATATACCTATACCTACACAATACCTATATTTTAATAGAGTAAAGGGAGTAGACAGAGGAATAGACAGAGTGTAAAAAAAATATTTGAAATAGGATGTAACTGTGATTTAGATATAAGTTGCACGATTTTTTAAATTTATTACTGTCAAATTTTTAATCTCTAGCCATGGTCTGTAACTTTTGTATTTATCTGCTCGTCGCTCAATTTTAATTTTAACTCTTGTATTATATTGACTGTATTAACTGAATTACTTGTTATTTATATATTTATATATTTATACATTTATTTACTCAAGACTGAATACGAGATGTATTTACCGACAATTTGACCTGTCTATGCATTACATATGTAAAAGTGATGAATAAATGTCTTATGTCTTATGTCTACTAATTTAATCTATGGTATTAGCTATGCATTAAATTCATGTAAACCTAACTGTGTCCCATTTAATAATGATTTTAAACAGAATCAAATTCAAAATAAAGGTCAAAGATTTTTAAATTTTATAAGGAGATGTAACAACTGTTTAATTAAAAACTA